AGCGGTTCATTTTATCAGTCAAGATCTGGGGTGTTGCGCTGCTGTTATGACCTACCCACGCTGGGCTTTGCCAAGTGGTAGCCCAAGCATCAAGAGGAGCAATTACATGCTCTTATGCCATCCCAGCACTTCAAAGAGAGATTTGGGCAGTTTCTGCAGAGGTTAAAGATGATCAAGTAAGAGCATACCAGGATACTTTCTTTAAAAATTTTTGGATACATGGAAATATCATTGATATTTCAAGGGTTCTCATTTTGATCGCTCTCGGGGCACTTTGTTGCACATGTATGTGCAGCTATTGAGAGTTTAAAGGAACCCTTCCTGGGAAAATAAATTAAGGAAGAATTTCCTTCTCGCTTCTCTGAAGAGAAACTTAAGATCTAATTGAAAAAGCTTGGGGAAAAATATCAAGCAACCAAAGATTAGATATACTTTGTAAAAAGCAGGGTATATTTATGTGAAATAACAGAATTTTTGATAAGTATGCGATTCAATTTCTTTGACCTATTGGGTTTTTCTCCCCTTGATACTTGGACATATAAGCCAGTGTATCTTCACTTCGAACGGGCTATACGGTGTCATGCCAGTTAAGACTCTGGCCCGTAGAAATTCCAAAGTAGATGTGAACAGTGAAAGTCCAAGAAACAATGACATTTTAGAAATATTTACTGTCCTTCCTACAAACATCTGCATTTACTGTGTTAGTTGTCCTGAATTAGAGAGCTGCCATTGACTATGTCATTGCATCATTAAAAAAAAAGCGCTATAGCACAGAGCAAATATAAATCTCCCCTTGGAGATTGGAAGCCACTGGTAGGCTTTATTTTTTAAAACAGTTGTGCTTATTCTAGTGGCCTTATCGGGAACTGTAATTGAATTGAAATATGTTTTGGCTTTTGCAGTGGTTCTGTTAGATTAATTATGTTTTCTGTAAATCTTGCATACATGCAAATTCTTTAAAATATTTATTCCCATATTACTGGGCAGAAAGCTAAAAGAAATTACAAACGAACCCATAAAGTGCAATATGTGGAAAAAAAATGTTGTTTTCATTTAAGTCTTCCCGTTGAAGTCAGCATCTCGGAGACTAGCAACTTGCTGCTTTCAGAAGTAGCTTCAGGGTGCAGCAGAAAGATGTTTATTAGGGCTGTTAACCTCTAACCAGCTGCCTTCTGCTTCCTGGTTTGGTAAGTGGGAACGTTCACGATGACCCGCAGCAATCGGTGGCATCTTTCTCCCAGCAGGCTGCGAACCCAGCTGCCTCCCAGGTGCAGCTCCGGGAGGGTTTCTGAGGGGGTGAGAAAACCGCAGAGGGTTTGCGGAGCAGCGGAGCGTGCTCCTCTTGCCGCCTTGCGTTTTTTCCGCCTTCGTGGCCATCCTGCGTGGCCGCTCACGAGCTTGTTCTGCCATGTTAGGGCGGCGTGTTTGCAGTAGAGCAGGAGAGAGAAGTGCCGATCCTTTTGAGATTTGGGCAGGTTGGAGCGCTGGAAAGCAAGAGATGGGGTGCAGCTCTGGGAATGCTTGGTTTACGGGCGCAGTTGGGAGCAAAAGTTAGGATTATGAAGACCAGGGTGCCTCATGTTCATACACGGAGGGGTAGAATTAAACCAGTGAATGATATTACTGTTACTTTTCCTATTAGATTACCGGTGGTTATTTCAAGCCAACGTTAACTGGCAGTTAGAACAGAATATGTCCTTCTCTTTGATTCAGTAACTGGGTGATTAAACCATTGGTCGCCATCCCTGGAAGCGTTCAAAAAATGGGCAGATGTGGCACTTTGGGGCATGGTTTAGTCTGGTCTACCCTTAATTGGTTTAGTGTGGACTTGGTAGTGTTAGGTTAATGGTTGGACTGGATGATCTTAAAGGTCTTTTGCAACCTAAACGATTCTATGATTCTATTTACTGCAACATTTGTCGTCGTCATTCCCGTTGCTGTGGATGGGAATTCCTCCAGAATCTTCTCTTGTCGTTACGTGTTAATGAAGTGTAAAAAGTAAGGAGAAAATAGGTTTCCTAATCCTTTGGGGATAAGAAGCTTCTTCCTTACCTCCAAAATGAATGCAAAATACTTGGAAATCTTCAATTACCTAACTTTTTTTTGGGGGGGGGGAATCTTACATACTGTTTTATACCCCTAAAACATTGTGTTCTACTCCCAATCTCATGAAACTGTAAAAAATGAAAACAAACTATATTCAACACCACTTCAGAAAACTGAAGGTCGATTTCCTCTCCAAAGGGTAACAAAAAGTACAGTCTCATGTTTTCTGAAGAAAAAAAAAATTGCGTGACTTGGATTTATTTGTGGCATTTTTCATCAGAAAGACGTTTCAGTAAACAACTTCTGGGCTGATGTAATCTAGAACCAGCTGAACTAAAGACATGATGTTGGAACGTACCTCTCCATTTGGCTTAGTGTCAGGTGTTAGTGTTAGAGCTCACATGGGAGCGCGTATCAAGAATTTATCGCAGATGGGGATCTTAAAAAGGAGGAGGAGGAAATTAGCACGCGCTCTGCTCATTGATTTCTTTAAGCGCTACTGATCGGTGAGCTTTGCAAGGCTGGGGTCAGTTCTGCACAGAAACACAGAATGATATCCTGCTGGAAAACATTAAGAAGGGCAAGGGGACAGATTAAGTGGAAGCTTTTCTGAATTTGCAGGCTGAAGATAGGTATTAAACTCCGGCTCTGCGCTTCTTCCTGCAGCCTGCAAGTGTGCCGTAGGAGCTTCTAGGATTTTGTCTCCACATAGCTGGTGGTCGCTGGTAGGGAATGGTTGGCAGACTTTGAGTTGGGGCATTTTAAAGATTTAAAGAATTCTGCTGGCCAGAATTCATAAGGCAGAGACTGTGATAATTATTGTACGTTTGTAGGAGTCTGGACATGAGCAGTCCTTTTCTGACAGAATTTAGACAATGCTATTTTGCACATCCTTCCCCCTTAATTTCTAGCTTCTGTGGGATGTTTTAACACGTGCTTTGTCTTTTTCTTCTAGTTACTTTTCCCAAGTATTTTTCCTGTAGTAATATTTTTGTTTTCTTTTCTCTGAGTAAACATCTTTGAACTTGCTAGCAGTGAGGAGGTTCTGCACCAGCTAGGGGAGAAGGCTGAGATTCCAAGCAGTCCCGTTGACTGGGGTGGGACTTCTCACAGGAGCTCATCGAGTACTCAGGGTCAAACCCACAATTAAGTACAAGTATTTGCGGTTCTGCATCACTCGTTTACAGGTGTTTTATATCTAGCAGAAATCTTATCCTTTTCCTGCGAATGTAGCTGTACGCATTCCGGTGGCACTTAACGGCGTCATTAGAAAATCGGTTTAAACCTTTAAATGCAGTTTTCAAAACATGATTTGGGGTGTCGCAAGCACTGAATTACTTACGCCTTGCAGGTTAGAAGATGATTACCCTTGGCGGTGCTTGCTGCAGAAGCTTGTAAATAGGAAGAGTATTCTCAGAGCTATCTTTTAATTTTGCTATTCAAACCTATTCACTCTAGACTATGTATTGTATTTGACTTCCTGAGACTTTATGTTGAAGACGCATTTGTCTTCTTAATCAGATGGTTTATATCTGCCAGGAATGTATTTAATATAATGTCAAACATAATTTAGATGAGAAGCAAAAGTACTGTTTGGTGTCATTTTCTGCCAAGCATTATTACTGAGAGGGAAGCACGGCAAGCCAAGCTTAAACAGAGCCTTTAAGCAATAACAAGCCGATTCGTCTGTTTATTTTGGCTTGATGTTCTTCCCTTGGTTACAAAGCTGTTGTAAGCATGTGCTGAATAATAGCTATTTAAAAACTATGCTAGATGGGGACTATCAGGTTAGAGGATCAGATCAGAGCATCTAAAGGCCTCAGTAAGGTTGACAGCATCATTGTTGTGCTTTATGGGCAGGGGTAAAGGAGACTTCTTGTTCCAGCCATATAGGTGGCATATGCAGGTTGAGACAGGAAAGCCACAGAGCTCTCAGGCGTCGGATTTTCTGTGATAATAGCTGGTATCTGTCTCTAGAGCTGGCAGGGAAATGCAAATTGTTCTTTCTGAAAATGTCAAAAAACTTCTGACCCCTCTGTCTGGTGATTGAGAAGGAGCAGTTTTGCAACTTTTATTTTTATGTAAAATGTTTTAGTTTTATTTTTCAAAAAAACCCCACCACTACCTTCTCAAAAAAATTGCTGCTATTTCTAAATGCATAGTTTGTCCCTGTATATTATTTAAGTGGCCAAGTACAATAGAACTTACTATCATTATTAACCCCTAGGTTTGATTGTTTACGGGCGGGGGGGCAGGGGCGGAACAGAAACAAAACTGAACTGGATGCAAAGATTTATCCCTCTGCTTTGGCACAAGGGGCTGCCTGCCGCAGTGCGTGGAGCCTGGCGTGACTGTGAAAACACAGGCGCTGTTCCAACACCAGCCGGGAAACAATCGGAAGTGCAGTGTGCTTCAGTTGCCCCTCAGTACAAGGCGGGTGGGGAAAGATGCTTGTTTCCACGGTAAATTGTTGTGACCTCGACCGTGGAAAAGCGCTTGTATGAAGAGCGTTTTATTATTAAGCTGGGCCAATCACGTTACTTGTATTTTGTTCCTGTTAACCACCTGTGCTACAGAATATTCGCTCTGAAGGGTGAATCTAATAGATTTAGAGTGCAAATCTAAGTGTGTGACTGTAATAAACCCAGTGTGTTTGCTGATGACGGTTGCACTGATAGAAGTAACCTTGAGGTCTTTACTATGTCCTGTAAATTAGGAATTAGGACATGGATCTCCACTGAGCTTTTTTTTAAGTGATTGATGTACATGAATGGAAAGGTAGCTTATGGAAGAGGGAGAGCAAGCATTCAAACATTTGTCTCTTTTTCTGGCAGGATGGAGAAAAAGAAAATTCTAATGAAATCCAAGGTTGCCGCTCCTAACCTCCTGAGGGCACTGCATTCTCTGTACCAGTTCGGTCACCTCTGTGATGTGACAGTTCACACACAGCATCTTGGAATTCAGGAGGAGTTTCTGGTTCACAAAGCTGTCTTGGCAGCTTCCAGCAACTATTTCAAGGGGCTGTTCCTGCATGATGAGATGCTGGACACCAAGAATTGCACGGTGACTCTGCAAGACATTTACACGGAAGAGTTCACCTCCTTCCTGGAGTTTGTTTACACTGCGGAAGTGGAGATTGAAGCGGAAAAACTGCAGCGGATGAAAGAAATAGCCGAAAGACTTGAATGCAAGGATTTGCTGGACATTTGTGAAGAAGTGAAAGCAGAGGGCAGGAAGGGTTTAGATTTGAGCCTCCATCTGAAAGGTGAGCTGTGTGAAAATGGTGGGCCACAGTGGACTCACATCCAGCAAGAGGAGGACCACAAACTGAGTAACTCTTCCCAAGTTGTGGCAATACCCATGCAGAGGAAACTTTGGGATAGGCAAAAACATAAAAAGTTGCTGGCTGGCTACGAACTCATTGAAGGCCAACCGGCAAGCCTGGAGCAAGAGGACACTGCTTTTCCAGAACCAAAATCCAGGACAGCAAAGCTACTGAAATGTAACAAGGCGGATACCAGAAACAGACTCAGTATGGATATCATTAGTCTGGAAAACGAGAACAGTCGTTCTCTCCTAAGTCAGACTGAGTCAAAGGAAGCCCGTGCAGTAATTGGGAACGCGCTGCCTGAGCAGTGGGAAGACGAAAACAGTTTCATTTCCAAATTTGCCAGTAAAACCGAACGTCGGAAATCACCACGGCACGTGGCGAAAGTCTTGCCGCAGATCGCGTGCGAGAAGTGCAACGAATCGTTCCCCGTTTTCAAGCAGTACCAGTCGCACATGGAGCTCAAGCATGACGCTAATCTGGCTGTCAAGTACAGCTGCAACGCATGTGAGCAGCTCTTCTCCACTCACCGGCACCTCCGGCAGCACCGCCTCGCCGTTCATAGCGACGAGCGGGGCTTCTCCTGCGTGTTTTGCGACAAGAGGTTTAAGCGCCAGAAGGACATAAATGACCATATCCGCAGGGTGCATGAGAAGAAGCGGGATCCCCAGGCCTGCCCGTACTGCGACAAGGTCATCAGTTCCAAGTGCGGCCTGACAGTCCACATACGAACGCACACCGGGGAGAAACCTTATAAATGCGAGCGCTGCCCCGCCAGCTTTGCTCAGAGGTCTGCTTACAATACTCACGTAAGGTACCGCATTCTCTGTGTGTCCGTGTGCGTGCAGGAAAATGTGTTTTCTCTCTGGGCGCTAGGATAAAAGCGTTCCTCAAGTCCTCGCTGCTTTAGTTCCAGAATTCCTTGGATCTGATTGGAAGTGTGTTGAAATCAGCGCAGATTTTTTCCATTGACCTCATCAAGCTCTCAGTCTGGATTACTGGATTGAGGTCTCCCAGACTGGGAATTTAGGCAAACGTTTCCCATTGAATCAAAGAGGACTTGTGCAACCAGATCTGTTAGGTGATTTTGGAAGCCTCAGATTTGAGTTTTTAAATAGAAGCCTGAAAATAACCGGCATCTGTTTAAAATGCACGAGAAAATGCCTATTTCACAAATATCAGGGCAGAACGGTGCTTTTTAGTATGGTTTTCTTGGGTCAGATATCCTGCGTGCTGTTTTGCAGGGTAGCCTGAGCTTCCAGATAAACTGAAAACAAGATGTTGAAATTACACAGCGGTTTCCAGAACCGCAAAAGCCACTGTACTTGTCAGACGTCTCCGTACTCTGCCTGCGTGGTACAGGAGATAGGTGATTTTCTACTGCATCTCAGCTTCCCTTTATAAAAAATGTCAAAATTTGTTTGTAGTTCAGTCCAGTAGCGGAAAAAACATTCCAGATGTGTCGTGAGTGCAATGGCATAGCTTGTTTCGCACGCTGAGTAGCAATAAGTAGAGTTAACCACTGCAATTGATGGCTTACAAGGGGGTCTGTTCAGTTTTCCCTATAGGCATTTAATCTATATTTCCCTTGGTTTGAGTCCATAATTTCTTATCCTGTCCACTATGGCCTTGGAGGAAAATTTACAGTCCATCCTATGTTACTGGTCAGCTGACGAGTATGTATACTTGAGAGGCTCCATCCTTGATGAACTGAGACATTTTAATTTTCTTTAATTATCTGGTCCAACTCTACACAAAATTTCCCTGTTGCTCAGCTCTCCAAACATGCTGTTAATTTCTTAAATGGTGTGAAAGACAATTAAAAGGAAACGACTCTTCCTCCAAGGCAAGACATTGTCTGAATTGAAACAATTGAACTTACTGAAGTTGTGCTCTGTTGTTTGTTTATTTTAACAGAAAAATCCACGAGTCTGGGCAAGAGAGGAAACTCATGCCTGTCTACTGGATGGTAGTTCCGCCTGCGCACAGACCGAATGCAGCAAGCTGTGGCAAAGATCCCGACAGAGGGACGTGGGGTGCGATGTCGGAGGCTGAACGACACAAGTGTGCGGGGCGCGAAGAGGCCGCAAATCGTGAGGAAGAACCCGGGGGCTCATCTGTTACCAAAGCAGACTGTAGCAACGAGCAAGAGCAACGGAAGCGGAAATATAAGGAAGCTGAAGCAAGAAGAGAAAAAATGAGCGAAGAGAGGAATGAAGATGAAATGAGCGTGAAGGGAGAGGAGGAGGTAGATGACGAAGCGGGGTATTCGGAAGTTGAAGACAGCAGAGGTAACGAGGAGGTCTGTTCTGAGGAGGATGATGAGGATGATGAATACGCTAATGAGAAGGATGGTGAAGAATGTGAATCAGATGAAGAGTTTAAAATAAAGAAGGTAAATAAGAGCGGGGTGAATAACAAATCTGCCTACGTAATAACGTGCGATAAGTGTAACGAGCAGTTTGTTTCCCGGAAAAAGTACGTGGATCACTGCAGAGACGTCCATCAGTGCTTGCCTGGTAAAGTCTATCAGTGTGACATCTGCAGCAAGTCGTTTGCTAGTTACAACAGCTGGAAGGAGCACCGAGCCTGTGTCCACACTGAAGAAAGGCAGTTTGCCTGCACCCTTTGCAACGCTACTTTTAAAAGAAAGAGAGACGTGAGGACACATTATATGCGGAAGCACGAAGGCAGGGTCAAACGCCCTCTCTGCTCTGTCTGCGGGAAGATCCTCAGCTCCCGAACAGCCCTAGTGTTCCATATGCGGACGCATACGGGAGAAAAACCTTACGAATGTGGCATTTGTCATTCAAAATTTGCTCAGCCATCGCAACTTAAGATCCATACCAGGTCAGCCTGCAGTACTGCTTCTCCCGTTACCACTCCCTGCATGCCCAGCGTACTTCAGCACTTCTTTTTCCTCTTCTGACTTCCCAGTTCTGACTCATTCTCCTTGCGTGTCCTTATAACAGGAACACCGGGATATGATTTGTTCTGTAGTATCTGTGATTAATTCTTTTACGTAAAGGCTTTGTCTGCAGCTGGCCGTTGCATCAGTTTTACTAAGGGTTTTGAAACAGATGCTCTGTGTGAACTTGTAAGCAAAAGCCAGTCATTTGAGAGAGTCTTCAAAATAAGATGATGGCCTTCACTGATGAAGAGTAGCATAGGCTGAAAAATTAGTCAAGGACCTCAGAGACCCAGACACCGAGCCCTGCTCGCTCTTTATCACTCCGAGCAAGTCATTTAGTGTGGGATTTCATTTCTTGTATGCAATAGAAAAGCTGGACATCTCATCTGGGCTCCCTCTGTAGTCATTGGAGCTAGACTGGATGAATTGCTCTCTGGTGGTGTCTTATGTTAAATGTGTCCTCTCCCAGGAGAGGGTGAATCATCCCATGGAATTTCCCATCTTTCTCCAAACCGGGAGCATAGCAGATAGTTCATAAGAGGATGTTAACTGTTGGAGGGCTGAAGTAGGTGAGAGAAATCCTGTTACTAGAGACTGTGGACCCATACAACGGGGTCAGTAGCTTCCTTCTGTTCCCTAAGCATTCTTACAGTGATCTAAAAAGTTGTGAGGCATACAGATTCAGGATCAGCAAAACATCTGAAATGTCAAGATTATCTCTGTCAGCTGAAACGCAGCAGAGCCGCGCTGCATGTAAGATGCGGTATGACTGCAACAGCACAGTGACTCACGGGGTTTGTGTTGGGTAACTGGCTGTCTCATATTTGCAGCATTTTGCCTGACAGCTCTAAATTCTCCATGTTTTTGCACATCATACTATTTGGGTTGGAATAAGGGAAGTCAGCACAGTGTTAAGACCAAATACTGGGCTCCGACTTTCTCTGATTTGAGCTGGTTTAAAATCAGGTGTCCAGCATGCGTTCAGAAACGCTGCTTGCCTGACTTTCCTTAGTGCCTTTTGTCTTAAAAATGGGAATGTCCTGCCAGTTAAGTTTGCAGGCCAGAGGATGCGAGATGGAGGGACTGTGGAAGCCAAGAACATGGCCCACAATGTCCCAAGAGATCTGCTGCTGACCTCATGCTGGGGACAATCGGGATGCGCTTTCAGTCTCACAGCAGCAGCTTGTCATCTTCCCTGCTTTCTCCATTCCGATGCTGATACTGTGAGCTGTAACTTGTGAAAGAAAGGTGGATTTTGTAGGGCCTGTGAATGAGAAAAAGGTAAACCATAAATGGGAATTCTAGCGCTTCAGCGTAGCACCTGTGCTCATAAACACTCTTACTTCCTCAGCAAGCAGAATGTACTTTTTTCCACTTCATTTAACAAACAAAGTGTGCTGCCTGTAGTGTGTAGAACACAATTTCAAATACATCATTTTAAGAATGTGCTATGAGCGCTAATTTATTAATAACCATTTGTGTTTCCCTTCATTCAGGTCCCATACAGGGGAAAAGCCATATATTTGTGAGGACTGTGGGGCCTGCTTTGCCGATAAAGGCAAACTCACTGGCCACAAAAGGACCCACACAGGTAGGCATTAAATACTGCTGTTCCTTCTGTCTGGTTTCTCCCGTCGCCTCCCTTTATACTGCTCGAAATTGCTAGGTGGGATTTGAAGAAGGTGCATGCTTTTTTGTTGTTTTTGTAACTCATGGAAGAGACTTCAAGTACCAGGAAGGAACTGCTGGGGGTAGAGAGACATTTGAAAACCAACTTTGAAGTACAAAATACTGCTGAAAGAATTCACAATGTCTTTTTTTCCCTTTACACAGGAGAACGCCTTTTTAAATGTGATGTGTGTGGAAAACATTTTGCCACCAACGAATACTTAAAATGCCATAAACGATGCCACATGGGTGCTAAGCCCTACAAGTGCGAGGTTTGTGGGAAGATGTTTGGACTGAGGGCCTCGCTAGCCCAGCACAGTAACGTCCATGCAGGTAATGAAACAAACTAATTGGGGCTGGGAAAATAAAATAAACGGTACTGGGAGCTTGGATCTGAAGTACTTCCCAGTTTGGACGGTGACATTTTATTCCAGAACCACTGTATAAGCTCCTTGAATTAGGTGCTGAGGAGAAGCAGGGCTCATATCGATCCTGACTTGTTAAACAGGGCACGAAATCGTCTTGTATCGTGGCAGATGACGCTTGCCCAGAGGACTGAGCCCTGTTCTGTGCTGTTGAAGGACGTCGGAGCAGAGAGCGGCTGCAGTTGCTGCTGTTCCCCTCGCAAGATCAGGGAGCTGCTCTCAGGCTTTCCTTTGCAGCCAAGAAACATTTATCACATAACCTTAAAAACAGGGCATCAAGCGCCTATCTCCTACAAACCCCGCTTTATCAATATTGATCTTTTAAAAATTCGTTACGCTTTTTGTCTGCTGGAGTCAAGGCCAAAAGAACCTGCCTTGTAACTCCGTGCTTCCTGGGTTTTCTTGTTTTTAGAGACCCGTCCGTATTTCTGCGAACAGTGCGGGAAAACATTCACCCAACAGGGCGCTCTCCGCCGCCACCAGCGCATTCACACCGGGGAAAAGCCGTACAAGTGCAGAGCTTGCGAGAGAACCTTCACGGACATGTCCACCTTGCGCAGACACGTGTCGGTACGCTGCCCCTCGGGTGTCTTTCTGGCAGGCAAAGTGCGGTGATGACATTTACCGCTGAGAGAAATTCCTTGGCTTAATCAGGGTTCATGCTGGTGCTTAAGTTCAGGTCTTTATCAAAAAAGAAATTGCAGAAGAATGAATGTTAGGCTTGGGAGATTGCTCTACCATCTACAGACAGCTTTTAAAAATATATTTCGGAAGGGTGCGGAATTTTCCTCCAGCAGTGCAGCAGCTCCCACTGCTGGCTGTCAAACCAGTCATCTCCCAACTGGTTCTGTTGGCTTCAAAAGGAAAATCTGATCTTAGGCAGCAGTGATTTAAAATGCTTATTACTGATTGAATCCTTTTCTTAAAAAAGGAACAGTACCACCTTTTGTGTTACTACAGTCTCTGCAGTCTTTTAAGCCTCTTGCACAGAGGCCGTAGCATGATGGTTTATAACGTCTTTGTGTTGCAGATGAATAGGATTTTACAAGTTTCCAGCGTTGTGATGTGCTGAGAATTGGATTGCTGAGCTTAGCTGTTTTCAGAGACCTTTGGGTCCTTGAAGTCACTGCTAAGAGACAACATAAGGGGTTTTTTTCCAATTACAGGTTTTTAAGTTAATGTTGGCCTGTATGCTAAAATTCTAGCTTCTTTTGGAAGCCTTCCATGACAGCGGAGCCAGAAAATTGGTGCGGAGTTGGCAAAACAGACTTGTTCTTGCGTTTAGGAATTCGGCTTTTGCATTTGAGCACAGTATCACAGAGTTAACCCTGATACTGTTTGATTTTGCAAATGCAGTTACTGAAGTTATTGTTAGGAAAAACTCAGATGTAATTTTTTTTCCCCGTTTTTCTTTTTTTCCCCCTAGATTCATGACCGCAATGCTCACTGGAGAAGTTTCTTAATAGATCTTACAACCAAAAAAGACCATAATTGGTCCAAAATAGAAACGTTTTCAGAAGCCTGTACGGGTGAAGACTCTGCGCCGGAAATTTGGTCAGTTGACCAAGGTAAACTTTATAAACCAGAAAGCGTTGTTCGTAAAAAAGTAGAACATGTGCCATCTAGTGTTGGTAATGCGGGAGGCACCGATCACTCCCTTTTATACTCATAACGTCAGTTATTGGCAGAAAAGCGCCGTCTCTTTGGGTCATAACAGGCTGGATCGCCCGAAACTTGCGTTGCGGCCGCCCCGTGGAGCTCTGCAGCACAGTGTCGTCTTTAGGTAGGTGAGCTGGAGTCACGGGCGTGCGGAATTCCTGTTAAAAAAGTGGTTTATGCCGGTTAGATTTTTAGATCCCTACAGAGTTTTTATTTTTTACAAAGCCTTGGAGACATCGTAGAGGGTCTCTGCTTGGGAAAGCGGCGTGTACGGGGTTGTGTGCGGGTGTGGTGCTGTGGATGTAAGTTATTCCTTTTTTTTTTGTTTGTTTGGTTTGGTTTTAATAAAGATGCGCTCGCAATATAAGCGGCCACCCATCCCGTAGCTGATTAATTTGCCTAGATTTGACTGCAGAAAACTTTGTTCATTTGGGTAGCGTAAAAG